AGCGAGCTTACAATCAAACTGAGCAATTAATTTTATTTAACAAAATGAAAATTTATTAAAACTCATTAATTATTTAAGTTTAACAATAGTTAGCTTAATTAATTTTATTTAACAAAAAAGAATAATTATTAAAATATTACCCTAAACATAATAATAATTATTAGAAAAATTTATCATTTAAGTTTAATGATATTTAGTTTAATTAATTTTATTTAATGAAATGAATAATTTTAAAATTAATAAGAAATATTTTATAGAAAATTCAAAATTCCGTTGGAAATCCGCTAGAAATTCTGTTGGAAAATCCATTGGAAAATATGATGAAAGATTCTAGCGAAAAATCCGTTGGAAATCTGATGGAAAAGCCATTGAAAATATTGCGTTGGAAATCCGCAGGAAATCTGCTGGAATTTCTGACTGATTTATTTCTGCCAGAAATCAGCCGAAAATAAGCGTTTTTCGTAGTGAATTACTATTATTACAATTTTTAATTAAATCAAAATCATTAATAGTTTCTACAAATGACTGTAAGAAGTTGTGTTACTTAAGTCTTATAACTTAAGCAATAGTTCCATGATTTTGATTTATAAGTGGATACCATATCTATCATGTATGATAATAAACATGTAACTTTAATCATGAAAATCCTTTTTAGCACTCATGAACTAAAACACATTGATATTTGCCAACATTTTATTAGATATTGTGTGTTAGAAGGATATGTGAATATTTGCTCTCGAGCGTTTTCGAGTTGCTTAATTGACCCTCGTCGAGCCCAAATGGAGCCCGAGTCGACTCGACTCTAGTCGAATAAACTCGACCAGGTTTAATCAGCCTCGATCAGTGCGTATCGCCCTCGTCGAACCCTATTCGAAAGCTTCCTCTTTTGGTTTCAACGGGGAGATTTTTTTTTTCTCCACATGAGGCCGATCCCCGGGGCGGGCATTGGGACGACACGGTGCTCCCTCTCTCGGTCTTCTCCAGTTCGCGAATCACTGAAGAACCGAAGCCCCCTCCCGATCGTTCTGCCCAGGGAAGCTCGGGCATCTCTGCCTGCTCCCAGTTCACGAGGATCAGCCCGTTCGCCCCTCTCTGTTCACAGCAAGGTCGCAAGTCCTAGCCGGTTGCTCTCCTCCCCAGGTCCGAACGCCCCAGCTCCCGCCGTCTCTGTCATTCGCGTACAGCAGGAGGCGGAAACCCCTTGCCCTGGCCGTCGACTGATTTTCTCCACAATAGCAGGTCATTGCGTGTGTATGTTTTTTGATCTTGCTGGTATGTTAACTTTTTGGTGTATATCAAGTTTGATGGTTACCGGCTGCAATTCTGTTGGTGGAAATTCTTCTTTGGTCAACTATTGATTTTAAAACTCATGGTAGAACTATCATAGGATGTTTGGAGGAGTTTCTTTCGAAGTTCGTTTGACATGATAGATTATTGTTCTTGATTTCTTGAAAATGTCAAGTCCTGATCAAGAGAAGCTTGGAGTCAAATTTCATGCTAGGCTTTCTCTAGATACCATTTCAGCCATACCAATCAAGAAAAGACGTTTCTTTTTTTTTTTTCTAGTTCTCCTTCACCTCCTCTTGAGACAAATTCTTCACTAACAGTAGATTGTGGTACCACACAAAATAAATCTTTTTTCTTTAGTGCAAACTCCTTCCTTGGAAGCTAGTAATATTCCTATTTGCTTGACTGCTTCATCAAATGGCGTCGTCTTCCTTCGATCATCCAGGGAAGTTTTCCTTATTCTATGATTGTGGCCTTTATTTTGTTGGTTTGATTTTATTTTCTTTCCGGCGTGTGCCGGCATGGCGTCGAAGCTTTGTGACCCGGGTTTTTTAGAGGGTTCTTCTTCGTTTCGTTCTTTTTTATATGTTCTTTCTGGATCGTCTGTTGCTTCTTTCCCTGAACTTAGGGTTTCCTCTTTTCGTGGAATACCCTCACTTTGGAGCTCGGATGAGGAGATCAATGCTTTGGTTGTCCCTTTCCAGTTTTCGTTGGTTGGGTTTTTCCCGACGAAGCGTCCTTCTCTGGATTCTATACGAAGATTTTTCTTTAATCTCAAATTGAATGGGGAATTTTTGGTCACCCTGTTGGATCAGAAGCATTTCCTTATCAAGCTGAAAAATGATCTTGATTATTGTCGTATGTTTTTCCATATATCTTATGTAGTGTTTAACTATTTTATGAAGCTTACCAAGTGGTCGCCTCTTGTGGATATTGGGGTTGAGTCGCCGATCATTCCTATTTGGGTTTCTTTCCCTCATTTGTGCCCTCACCTTTTCTCTCCCCGTATACTTCACGGTTTGGGTTTGTTCTTTGGCAAACCCTTGAAAATTGATACCACAACCTTTATTTGTTCTAGGCCGTCCCTAGGTTGTGTTTTGCTAGAGTTGGATGTTACTAAGTCCTACCCTGACAAGGTCTGGTTAGGCCCTGAGAAGGTTGGCTATGTTCAACAAGTGTTTTTGAGGATTTCCCTCAATTTTGTGGCTCTTGTAAGTGTTTTGGGCATTTGTTCGTTCACTGTCATCCTGCTACTGAGCCGATGATTTCGGGCAAGGTTGCCTCCTCTCTTCCCCGTGAGGCTTTTCAGCCTATTTCTGATTCAAATTACATTCCTAGCTCTAGTGTATTGCCTGGGGTGCCTTTAGTTATTGAAGAGTCTGTCTTGCCTGTTGTGGAGAATCCTATTATTGCTAAGGAGATTGAGGATATTAACTTAGTGAATATTGAGTCCGTGGAAACTTTGGCTGCTTCCTGTGATGATAGCCCTGTAGCTTTGGTCGTTGAAGGCCAGTATGTTGGTGTTATGGTCCCCTCCCCGTTAGCCCCTCTTGTGCGTGAGGTTGGGAGTGTGGAGTTTTTTAAGAAAATGTCCTTGGTTTCTTCTTTTTCTGCTCCTAATTTTCGTGGTGTGGGAGAGGTGAATTGTCAAACTAATTGTAATGGTAGCTTATCATGTGGGGCTGTTGTGATTGCTCAGACTAACCTGTTTATGGAATCTGCTGAACCTTTGGTTGCTGCCTATGATGTGACTTGTCCTATCAATGAGTTGGTTCATGTGCAGTTGGTTGGAACTTCTTGTGTTTCTCCTGTGCAGTTGGATTTGGAGGGTTCTGTTTCGTCGTCCCATCCAGCTCCTCAGCTATTGTACAGTGAACATTTTTCTGAAGTCCCTATTTCTCTTATATCTAATGAGGAATTGAAATGCCTTTTAATGTCTACTATGAATCGTACCTGTCTTGAGCAAATTGATTGGTTGGAGTGGTCGGACACTTCTAGTGGTAAGGATGAACATGGAGCTGATTTTGCATTACAGATTGATCATCCTGTGGTCCCTGTTACCTCTCGTGGTAGGGGTAGACGTGGCAAAAAATAAATTTGTGCTTTGTGTTGGTTTCGGTTTATCCCTTTGGGTTGCTAATGTTGGCTGTTTTGATGGTTGGGTTTACCCCTTTGCTTTTGGTTGCTGTGGTTGGGAGGTTGTGGGCAATTTTGCTGTTTTGGTTGCCCATTTCAATTAGCTTCACTATGGACGATGAGGAAGGAGCTTTGCTGAGAGTGTCGTGGATGGCCAGGGTTGGTTGGCAACTTGGGTGGCTCGTTTTGCTGATTTGGCAGCTTCTCGTTTTCGATTTTGTTATCTAACATGGATGGCCCATCCCTGGCAACCCGGTTCTGGTCTGAGTCCGAAGTTATTATGACTCCCATCCATTTTTTAATTTCTTTGCTTCTAATTTATTACTTGTAATCTATTGCTGTGGTCCTGGGTGGGGTCTTTGATTGTATCCTTTTCTTTTTAATGTAATTTTATCATGTAAAAAAATAAAAAATAATGAGAGAAGTATCAAAATAATTCATTGACTCTATATGAAAAATTAAAATAATCTTCAACTATATTAAAAAATCTTTTAATCCCTCGTTTAATGTGGAATCAAATAGCCCCATATGAAACTATTTTAATATTTTTTAAAAAAAGACTTGAAAGATCAAAATGATGATTTAATATGATTAAAAATAATTTTAATCTTTCATGAATATAAATAGTCAATGAAGCACTTTAATCCTTTTTCTCTTAATATAATCAAAGAAAATTTATAGTACTCTGCTATAAAGAATAAATTTATCCCACATTTAAAAGGGAAAATTATTATATCCGCTTCCGGATTCGTCCGGAGGTGAATCCGGACACGTCACATCACCCGGACCCCGATGCATCCGAGTGGATCCAGGTGATGTGACACATCCGAATTGTCCTTCTGACGGTTCGAATGCCGAACTTAATAATTCACCCTTTAAAAGACATGAGAGTCATAGTGATAGCTGATTAAATAAATATATTCTATTTTTATTTTAGTTTCGGTTATTTTTTGTTATACAGTAGCATAATAAGTATTTAAAATTAAGAAATCTCAACTTACAACACATAAATTGATAGAGCGTCAGTGATAGAATTTAGTGAAATTTTATTCCAAACAAGAATTTCAGATGAAATTTTAAAATTTCTATCTCAAATAAAATCAATAAAAGCCAAATCTATTTCAACCAAAAATCCAAACTAAATCATTGAAACATAAAGTCATGATTTAGGATTCATTGAGACGGCTTTCTTGCTGATTTTTAAAATAACTTTTTAATAGCAAATATTTTTTACAAAAAGATTATTTAAAAAAAACAGCAAAAAAATCTTCTCAAATGAAATCATAGACATTCAAAAGGAAATAGAAAAATGCCCTCTCTGCACGTAGAGAAGATCAATGTCATAGAATCATAAGTTATTCAAAATTATTTATAAAAATAAGATTTAACAGTTCAAACTAAATTTAATAAGAAAATGAATTTAAAAAAAAAAAAACAAATCTAACACCAAATAGTTTGATAAAACTAATGATGTTGATGGTGGGGTCGACTTGAACTTACATGGAGCCTATGAGCAGTCATTGCTGTGCTGTTCAAGTATCAGACACCAATCACAAATGCCAAAACGAAGCCACTTCTTTGAAGAAAAAATGCTGTAAACTATTTCAAAAATATAATCGTTACTATATTAGTCCTCTCGTTCAATAGTCTTGCAGGCCAAAGATAGACTTGGTGCAAAATTTTAATCAACCTTGTTACTAACTATTCAGAAGCTACCTGCCAAGTGTAATAGTAGGCCAAACAAAACAAGATAAAAAAAATTGAATCCCAGCTTTAGATTTTGTAGCAAATCACGTCATTTAATTTGCACAAATTACTGGGACTGTAGACTCATGGTTGAATCCATTCATGGAACAGTAAAGCTAGCTTTACCAAGCACCAAGAATGGTCAAGGAAACCTCAAGAAAAAATTTGCTTGATCTTGGTTTTCTGATCTTCAGTTAGCGATCTAGGGAAGGATACTTCGAAAGTAACATATAGATCTCCTTTCTTTGAGCTCATATGCACAGGCATTCCTTCACCTTTGAACTTCCTAATTTCTTTAGGTTTGGTGATTCCCTGAAAATTAAACTTGTTTATTATACACCAACTTTAACGAGATAAAGGTAAAGGCTTTGGATTAGCCACTAACGTTCATGCCGATATCCACTAGATGGCCATCGAGATGCTTCATGGTTTTTTCAAAGCCAACAAGAGCTTCAAGCTGACACATGGGAAAAACTATTTACATCAGTGAAATTAACATAAGAAAAAAAAAAGAACTGCAAAAACTGCAGATAAAATAATGTAGTATTCATCCATCAGCTTGCAATAAGGTAGATTCAAGGAGAGATTATTCTACGCGGACACCGGACAGGAGAATCGTCCGGTACCGCTTGATACCGAGCGCGGTACTGACGCTCGGTACCGAGTGCGGTACACTTTTGAGGTGATGTGGCGCATTTTTATTGGCCTTTGGATGATGTCCGGACTCTGCACAAAATAATTTCCCAAGAGAGGATAATGATGTACCGCAGGATCTATCTGCTGTAAATCGTGATATTTGTCACATCATTGAAAGAAATAATGAAATCAAAATCCCAATAGGAGACACAAGAGCACCAGCTAAGCCAAACTGAATGAAGCCTAGACCAAATGCCCTCTTAAAGCCACTCGGCACCAGCTAATCAATCTCCTTTCTACATCATTATAAGGTAGGGGTGTAAACGAGTCGAGTCGAGTATTTGCCTTATCAAGCCTGGCTCGTTTAATCCTTAATGAGCTCGAGCTCGAGTTCGAGCTCAATAAGTGGGCTCGAGCTCGACTCGTTTAGGAAATATCAAGCTCGAGCTCGACTCGAAAGATCGAGCTCGTTTGAAAAGCTCATTGAAAAACTGCAGCTGCAGATAGATTTTTTTATAAAATAAGCTTTCAAATATTATAAAAACATAATATTATAATATAATATATATAATTATATATATCGAATTATATCGAGTAGCTTGATAAGCTTTCGAGTCGAGTTGGGTTGAGCTCGAACTCGAGCTCGTTTATCATTCGAGCTCGATTGTAGGCTCGAGCTCGAGCTCGAAGCTCGATAAGCTCGGCTCGCGAGCTTGTTAACGAGTCGAGTTCGAGCCGGCTCGGCTCACTTACACCCCTATTATAAGGTGAGATTGTTGGAACTTCTGATAAATTCATATTGGAAGGTACAATTCAACGTAAATCGAGCGTTCTACACTTTCAATGTCAAGAAACAACTCAAAAGATTGAATGAAGGCTAATTTGGGCACATGAGAAGTGGGGAGGGATCAAGAGATAGAGAGAGAAAGCATCATCATTTTTTAACAAGCATTCATCCACAACTTCGTAAGCGAACATGCGGAGGGATGAAGAAAGAGCAATTGGCACATGCATTCTTAATCATCAAATTAGTAAGTTTAATTTTATCTTACTAGTTATTAATAGTACAACGTGTGGGCAAGAGTGCCATAAAGCAAAATTGAGCCCTTCCATAAATAACACTAATTATTTGTGACAAGCAACCCTACCATCACGTTCATATTTAAGGCATGTTTTCCCATTTCTTATTACGTTTTGATTTATACCCTAAGCTCCCAAAGAGGGAGGGTATTTATAATCCTAAGAAACCTAAAAACCTACAAACAAATTAATACCTAACACCCAATAATTAAACTTTTACATTAATTCCTTGATATTCTCTGCTTCTCAACAATAACCTTGCCCTCAAGATTGAACAAATAAAAATGAAAAAAAAAAAAACTTATACTCTATCAAGATCTAAGGCATCGATTGGGAAACTATGAGTGCGATGGTTGAGGCATAAGAAATCTTAGCTGATATGGTTGAGGATTCTGTAGGGGCAGGGAGCAACGGGATCGATGTGAAGGGGATGAAATAGGGGCGAGATTTGTACAGGGCACACCTAGCAGCGTTAGGTGTATGTGGATTTGACATTTCTAGAAGTGAACAGCGACAACGAAGATAGAATCAATCTAGCAAAGCGAAGGAATAGCACAACATATTGGATTAGACATTTCTAGTACGAAATCAAATTAGAAATCTTGGCAAGGGAGTCAGGAAGCGAAGTTAACGGAGACATAGGTGGAAGCCAACCCGATCTAAAAAATCTGAGTCCAGGTTGACCCGTTTAATAAACGGGTCGGGTGTTGGTTAGACTTTTTAAGCAGTTCATTAAACAAGACGGGTTCTAATTGACCCGCGAACCATTTTTAATCCGACCTGTCAACCCATTTTAAACCTAGTGATAGGATTCGGTAGTTGCAAGATCCAACCTGATCTAGAGGTGGATAGATGAGATGGAGTTAGAGTTGTCTAAATTGGCAAAGGCAGAATGGAGATCTAAGAATATTGGCTAGGAACAATCTATAATATGAAGGCAAAATTAGGATCTGACGGGCTGCGATATAGTGACAACACGGTGGAGATCGTGTGGGTTTGAGCTCGAACGAAGACTAGAGTTAGCATGTACGTGACAAGATTTGATTGTGATTGGCAGGTTAGTGCTGTGAGTTTGTGGAAAATGAATCTGGGGTTTAGCAAACATAGTGGAAGATCTAGATCTAGCTAGGTTGAACAACAGAGGTCAAATATGGGATGACATAGGTAAAGATGAAGGAAGACATGGGGACACCCAAAGATAATGAGGTCAACGAGTGCACCAATGATTTGAGCTTAAATACAAACGATAGGAAAAAAAGCAAATAAATTGATAAGTAGGCAATTACAGCATGCCATGTAATTAGTAAGAGCAAAGGAGATGAGGGCATCCCAACAAACCTAATAACAATCGAATACCTAATATCCACTAATCAACCCATTAAATTAAGTTAGAACAAATAGGAGTAAGAAATAAATGAATAGAAATTAAAAAATAGGAAGGAAAATGAGTAACAAATACAACATATTTCAAAGTTGTCCAAAAGACAATTAAAATTAATACCAGACAACACTTCCCAGTAATAATTGGTGAAGGAGGATTCTTAAAGCCAAATAGTCCTAAACAACTCCCTATATTTTTGGTAAAAAGGTAACGATGAAGATGTTAAGAATTAACAAAAGTGCATTTATTGAAAGTGAAGAATAATGAGAAAGAATTCAAAACAGAAGTAGTAGAGTGAACCTAGATTGGCTACGGGTAACACTGATAACAGATGACCAAAAGGAGTACTGTATTATACATTTTCTATAGATCAAGCTACTAGAGTTAAAGAAAAAAAAAAAGCATAAGTACTGAAATATGCAATGGCATACAATTGTACTAGATGTTGGCAGTATTAACAATTAATGAATTAAAAAAAAATAATGAATCGAGTTTGTAAACAGGTTATATGCTCGACGCTACTGGTCTTATAAATACAATCACAAATGAACCAGAACAGGGAATGATAAAGATCAAATCTGACAATCTTTTCATTCATATGCAACTTAATCATATCGGTTCTAAAATAACCTGGCACTTCAAGTGATGAATTTAGAGGTCAGGGTCATGGTTTTAAATGAAATTAGCGAACAATCTTGCAATCAGTAAACTGTTCAGATGAAATAGCTGTGATAATAATAATAAATCAGGCCAACATAAAAGTAAATGACAAAAATTTAAGGAGAGAACTCAGTACCAAAGAAATTGTCACTGTTGTGTATAGATCACTGCCTTCTCTTCGGAATCGGTCATGAGCTGCAGTTCGAATCCTAAACTGTTTGGTAAAACTATGCTTCAGTAAAATCAACAATCAATTTTCTAATATAGAAGTCAAACTCGTATCTTCTTGCTTTAAGAGTATGATGCACTGGTACCTTAAGATCACCATTTTCTCCATCTATTATAGGCTCACCATCCTCATAAAAGGTCACTTCCTGTTTAAAACAAGGGTATGCTTACGTGAGTGACAGCAAGGCACGAGTGTTGTGGGAGACAGACAGAAAAGAGCATGTTCAAGAAAAAAATGCGTGTACCAAAAACCACAAAACCTTCCAAAAAGAAAAAAAAAACCATCTATCTAGTAAATATAAAGGAATATTCCGGAAAAAAAAAAACACTATAACAACAAAATACTAATAGCACTTGTCGAGTGACCATATGATATTTACTCCATGCCTCCAACAGTGAGACCAATGGTTCATATCCTTAAATTGAAGATATTACCATTTTATTAATTGTTGCAGCAAAGTCATTCCTCAGTTTCCAAATGTTAAAGGTTTCTTAAGCAACATAATCAGGCATTGGAGAAAATATACAATAGAAGATGACCAAAGTAGCTGCCACGTTATTTCCTTGTTCTTTAGGAATGGATTTTTTTACACAGTACCAAATAGGAACTCCTTCTATGGGATCAACCATGGAAGAAATAACGCTCATAAGAAATAAGAATCAAGAAACCGGATTAAATTACAAACAGCCTGATGCGGACATCGGCACAAAAATCTGGCGCATCTATCACAGGAGGCGTTGTAAATCGACGGCTCTGATTTAAGTTGTCATTTATGAATTATTTTCTGCATTTTAGTTTCTAGTTTATGTTATTTCATGTTTTACCCCTAGGTTAATTTATTTGAATGTTGTAGCCCGAGGGGCAATTTTGTAATTTTTTTCCTCATGTTGTGGCCTATATATATGGCCTTTAGCTATTGTAATAGGATGGTTAATTGGATATGAAAATTTTTGTGTTCCTCATTTGTTCTTCTTGTGAGAGAGCGTTAGTGGGATTCCTATGGGAAGGAATCGAAGTTGTCACCAGCCGCAGGATGGGTCCGGGCTCGTGATTTGAGATCCCTTGGAGAGGGAGAATCGGATCACCCACCAACCTTGGAGACGGCCGGGTTCGTGGTTTTTTCTTTTGTGAATTTCTTTCTTCTTCTTCCTTCCACCCCCTTTATTCATCTTCTCGCATATCAATCCTCCACTAAAACTCCACCCAACATCTCCTCCAATCCAAGCCCTACAATTTTCCCCCATTAGCTTCTCCACCGCCGGCCACTCTTGTTTGTCTCCATGAATGAGAAGTCAATGTCACTTAATGCTTACCTAAGTTCAAATAATTTAGGAAATTATTTTCATTCTTTGAAATTCGAATTTTTGAATTTCAAATAGTTTCCTAAATTAGAAAGCTATTTTAGGAAAGTATTGAATCTCATTCATGATGTAATTGAAACTTAATTTGGGTGATTTAATTTTGGGCGGTTTTCAAAATTTCAAATTCCACTAATTTGAAATTTGAAATCGTTCCTAATTTGCCATTCCATTTTGGAAAGTTTTAAATTAATTCTTTTTGAATTTCAAATTTAAATTGGGGTGGGTTATTTACTCTCCTAATTCCTAAAACCCAATTAAGAAGCCTTAATTGCTTTCATTGAAGCCATATATTCATTACTGCTACCGGCTCACCTCACCTCCACCTTGGCTTGAAATAATAATTATTGCCTATTCTCCCCATATTACTTTTGGAAACTAATTTCAAATACCTTACATTGCCTCCAGCAGATATTTCTAAGCTCTATTTCCTATTCTATTTCCTAAATCAATTCACTGGTTTTGGAAATAGAAATTCATTCAGAATTTGCTTGGAAATAATTTTCCTGAATTTTCTCTACATCCCGCTGTTCCCCCTCCTCACTGGATCTTACCAAAATCTGTCCAGAATTTTTATTTCTCTTTGGGAAGAATTGGGACCTGAACATTCTGCTTTGGGAATTTACATCCCTCTGCTAGCCGAAATCTTCCAAAGGCCATCACATGGAAATTCCTCCACTAGAACCTCTCCAAGTTCCTTACAATATTGAGTCCTCTTCCTCCCAAAGCTGCAGCCCGTGATTTCCCAGCTCTTCTTACTTCAAGTCTTTCTCCTCTAAACACCAAAACTGAAGTTTCCCCTTAGATTTCTGAGAGAAATCTCTCTCCTGGCAAGAGAAATTCTTCCTTCCCCTACCCCTATTTCCTCAAGAGAAAATCTGAGAACTTCTTCTCAAATTTTTGGTGAAATCTGAACTTGCTGTCAAAAAAAAAAAAATTGGAGAGAAGATTTGTCCCTAGCAAAGCGTTTTCCGTTCTACATCACAGCCTTTTTAGACTCCAAAACCCAATAAAAATGATTAAATGTTAATATTAGATCAGCAGTCAAATAAAACTTTTATGCCAAAATCTATAAAATTAGTCTAAATTTGACATTTGTTGGTGCAAGGTAGTCCCTAAAAGCATATCATGAACAAACCTGATTGTGTGAAACGAAGGATAAAATTTGCTAAAAAAAAGTGCAAGTGAAGAATCCTAACTTAGCTCAATTGAGAAAAGAACAAGGAGTTAAGTAGAGTTTCACTTGTAACATACGTGCTACAACTTCAACAGAAATGCGGTAAAAATTGGGCATGGGTTGACTATGCAAAAAATTAAGATTATACTTGCTGCATGGAATTTAATATTTAAAATGGGAAGAATAGAGAATTAGTGAACATAACGATCAAAAGGATAACAATAACATGTTTGCAAGACACTTAATGAAAGGGGAATCCAAAAACATTAGGAAGATAACAAGCTATGGTATATCAAAAAGTATATAACTAAGATGAGGTAGGGATAGTAATACATAAATAGGTGAAAAATAAAATTTTGAAGTGAATAGTGCTAGTCATAGGGTGCTTAACATTAATTTAATTATCAGCAAAAATATTATAAATGGATTAGCGTTTATTCTTAAATTAGATAAAAATATAGTTTGGAAAAACAAGGAAAGAGAGATCAACTATCACAACATCTAACTAAAGAAGCAAAGAATAATTACTTTGTAACCTATGATGCACGAATACGGACACGGCGACACGGACACGACACGACACGGACACGGGACAC